TCCGTGTGCCCTCGTGGTAGAGAATTCGTTTAGACAAGATGGTGCCGACGATTTATTCTCGACCTCAAACTACGAGTCTGCTCTAAACTATAAAAAGAACGTTCACGTTGGATTAAAGACGTTTTCACCTGGATGAGGCACATTCGTAAAAGTATTTGTAACGCGTTTATCGACTTTAACTCGATAGCGAGCGAGATTATCATGATCTTGAGAGATACGTGTGTAATCAATAATTAATCGGAGATATATATGATATATACATATATACATATATACATATACACGTATATAATCGATAAAAGATATCAAAAGTGAAATTGGAAATAGTTAAAATCGATAAAGTTCAAAACCAGCGAGTGCTCCTCATCGAAATATCAATTAATAGATCAGCAAGTACTTTACGATACACTCAGTATTTGAGCAGACATCGTGAAAATACATGATAAAACCTACTTAGCGTAGAGAAACTACGAAACGATCACTAGTGATGCATAGTTGGATGTGCAACTAGACAGGCTAGAGTGACGCTACGTGCCTACGTAAATTTTGATTGTAAAGAATTCTTGGAATGCTCGGTGGCATCGAAAAAGAAAGAAAAAAAAAAAAAAAAAAAAACGAGAAGAATTCTTTGCTACGCGAAGAGATTATTCCCGTGATTTATACGTTTGTTCATATGTACTTGCAGTTGTTACTTCGATCGAGAGTATCATGTTTCAAATTGCACGATTAAGTAGCGACACCATGAGCCCCCGTGTATGGTCAAAGTTTCTCAAGATTCTTATAGATTATAACGTTAAGATTGTAGAACAATAGAGATAGTACGTCAGTTGAAATGACCGCTTACCTAAGGCATGTATTTCTCGAGGTGCTCTTCTCAATTAGTTCAAAATGTGTGAAGAAATTTCGAACTCTAATCAGACCAGATTATGGTTGCGTACGGATTGTTCAAGCACCGACCCCGTAGGGTTCACTATAAAAACAAATATAAAAAGCCTCGTTTTCATTTGCTTTCCCTCTTTAGCCATCTCTACGTGGCTAGCTAATTGTGTGTTTCACTCTTCTCTTTCAGGAAGAGACGGCCAGCGGTGCCGAACGAGTCATCGAAATCACGAAAACAGGAGTGCCGGCGAGTAAACCGGTCAAAGTAGAAACGGCCGCGGAAGAAGACAAGTAAAATCACCACGGCCGAGAACACGTTTCAACGCAATTGGATCTATTTGTATTTTCAAGCGTTTTCGCGTCTCAATGTAAAAAAAAAATAAAGGTAGAATTTTGTATAACAATAATCTGCGAATCGGACAAATCGTTCATAAATTGTTCAAACCCTTGGATGATATAAAATATATAATGATGTAAAAGAATATTTATTCAATGCTAGTATATATATAGAATCTTGCATTGTAATGCCGTGGAAGCGTGAGCTTCTCAGTAAACGCAAGCCACGAAACTACAGTATACATATGTATGAGTATAATATAAAAAAAAAAAAAATGTCAAAACTACTTTAAAGAAAAAGGTAAAGAATACCCACGGTAAACTGTCGCGCTCCGCACCGAATCCGTCTCGTCTACATTTTCTCGTCGTGTTGTCAGCAGCCTCGTGGACCACGTAAAAGAAGTAGAGGTATGGTACACTGGTTTGGTGGGTCTTCGGGTGTTCGCTGCGTCCGAACTGAACGAAAGTTTGTTTACGAATGCGCCGAGGCAAGCCGGCCGGCCCTCTTATATAGCCGTGCGGCGTCGCAGTGCTGAATGTTCGAGAAGTTGTTCCCGGCAGCCGGCGTCTAATGCGCATTTCCCTTTAACCCGTTATTTCTACACGTTTGCCGTCGTCAATCCGGCAGCCGTTGGCATCATCGTGTTCCCCGTGTCGCGAACTATCGTTCGATGGCACGGTTACCGCCGTCTGTCCAGCCTTTTCGGCGAAAATAAGCAAAAACCAAGTATTGATCGGCAGAACGTCGACGAGATTTCTGGTACATTCTCCCACCTAGACCCCCCACCCATAGTCCCCCCTATACTAGCGCACAAACATACGCTTCTCCTTCTTTCCTGATGCACGTACACACGCATGCAGGCGCGTCGAACGGTCAAATTACCCGATGGAAACAAGGGACGACCAACCTCGGTGTTATTTGCCTGTTTTGTTTTCGTCGTTATGTCAGTGGGAAGGGCGTTAGTTGGTCGGAAATACGCAGTATTGTCGGAATCAAGGACAGGCCGAGGACGCCCTACGACGTCGCCAGTTACTACGCGTCATTTCTAGAAATTCGTCGGCCATGTTAATTAACATGGACAGCGCCGGACAGTTGAGTTTCAGATGCAACGTTTTTAGACCTCTTACAATTAGAATGTTGGCTTCTATTCAATCTCCGAATGAGTGTTTCTCTTGTTCTTGTGGACAGGAGACGATGCACCTTGCAGATGCTAAAAGGCGATTAAACACGTTCAGAATCACGGCGCAATATCGAACCAGCCATGATTTTTGACGAACACGTATTTCTTTAGGAATCAGATGCCTCTCCTCACGATCGAGTACGAGTAAAATGTCCAGAGGCTTGTTCTAAATCCCGGCCGTGAAAATACTGCGTAGTTATCCCGAGACATATGTTTGCTGGAAACATAAATTCCGTTAATACAGAAGGGCAAAAAGAAAGGCAGGGGGAGAGTAAAGACGCTCGTTGTCTTGAGATAATTCGACGAAATATCGTAACATTGACGCACGTGATGCAACAGACGATATCGTGCAAAATGTAGGTCAACAATCCTTGATTAGTGCAGTCGACCGAAAACTAAACGCGATAATTCCATCTAATTACTGGTGAAACTAATCACCGTGAATTTTTCTCCCAAAAATCGAACGACGCCCATCGTTCTTGTGCAAAGGGCGCGTATTATTGCGCAATACAGTGTTTCACGCGACAGCTGTAGCTCTATCGATTTCCCGCGTACGTCTTCTGACCTAAGTGCATTGGATCTCGCTTGAGAGCCGCGTAATTCATGCAAGCCCATTCGTGCGATATAAGAATTGCGTGCTCTAACGATATAAAAGTCCTTTGTGCAGCCTTTCGAACGTTACAACATATGGAATAATGGGACCGGATTAATTTCGAAGGGTGAAAGAGGAAACGAACGGGGCAACCTACGTTGTAGAAATACGGCTACGCACAATGATGAGCAGATGTTCGCGATAGATTCGCACAGAGAACTGGCAGGAGCAAGGAATAAAAACCGGAATTGGTAATGTCGGTTGACGTATCCAGCTGGTTGCAGACCGCGTGTCTCCCAATGTTCTCAATACGTTCTCTCTCAGGTGCACGGGTGCGTAACATTCTGGAACGAATACGGTTTCGTAGCTATACACATAACTCTGTATACGTGTATTGTACACAGTCGGACGATGCTTGTTTCGTTTATCGAATATATACGTTTGCTAGTTTACTAGTGTCGATTATGCAATGGCGGTCGACTAGGCCGCCAATATATTTAGAAACTAGTATATAGTTCAAGATGATCGTTGCATCGTGACGTTCGTAGAGTTCGTATACCTTGCCAGTCGTAGGCGTTCAACGTTCTAAAATTACACTTTCATCCGCCGTCGTTTTTCTCTCGGCCATGCACCGTCATTCAGCGTGAATCGTGCTGGAAATTTGGCAACAGACAAACTGGAGAAGCAAACTGAGAAGTGATATTACGAGAACGTAAAGAAAAACAATTGAACATAGAAACACGGGAGTAACGTGTTTGAAATGCTTGCAGTCTCTCGGTTTTCCAGAACGTTCCACAGTCGGATGCAGCAGGTAATCAATAGCTGCAGCGGTCGAGCAGTTATATATATATGTGTATAAAGAGAGAGAGAGAGATGTCCATCGAAGTATATAAGCAAATATTTCATTTTTACACGTTGACGTGCTTTTAATCGCGTACTCTTGGATCGTTCCTTTCTGAAACAGCATTTAAACACGTAATTAACCCTGGCCTGGAGAAGAGAAAATTCTGATGAATTTTTTGGAAATATGTCACGCATCGTTGCGAAGCTGAATGTCACGTCGAAATGACACGCGAGAAATCTCGTTAATTACAGTTTATGCAGATACGAACAGTCAGGCCGAAATGAGATTAATATTCCGCTATAGCCACAAATAACCTGAATAATGTTTCCCTCTTTTGCATCCCATTTTGTTTTGTCAACAAGCTGCCGTTTGCATTCCGTGTTTGTTTACGCGGTAATATATGTATATAAAAATAGTTGATAAAAAGTTATCGTCGGGGAGCTTTAAAAATTCCACGAAAGAGAGTTAAATCGTTGATATATTCTCTGCGAATGAATGATATGAAACCGATTATTTGCCTTGATAGTGGAACTTCGGAAGGATAATATCAAATCGCTCTGCAGAAAGTACTAATAATAGGTTTGCATCCAACGATCGCTGCGTTCTACGTATTACACAACAAAGCGTAACTCTGCAGAAAGTTCCGTTTTACGTCGCCCAGTTCGTTTCCATTTCTGTCTAGATATCGTTCTGATGTTCTTCATGCATAAACAAAACATTGCAGAGGCACGTTACGTTATCCAGTTCTCTCTAATGAAAAAAAAAAAAAAAAAAAAAAAAAAAAAAATCACGATGATGATTTCGATTCTAGGAAATGAACGAAACCCGATGTTTTCAAGTGCCGCGAATTCAATAATTTAATTTAATTTAATTAATTTAATTTAATTTAATAATTAATCAATTAATTTAATTTAATAATAATTCAACGTTACGTCGTTTTGTGAATTGAAAGCAAGCTGACAAGCAGATATTTCGCTGTAAGTGATTCGCCCTGAGAGGTAGAACACAGACGCGATTCGAGTTGAAAATTCTAGAACCGCCCCATTATCGATTCAAATTGTAACACAACATATTTACGGAACGTGGAGTTGCGCAGAATTTCCATGTCAGAAATAAACTTTCCCACGTTGTCACTTGATTACGTTCTTAACTCTCTGGAGGTCGTTCGTAAATACATGGAAATTTAAATATTTTAAAATTAAATCAATAATTATTCAGTTTACACGTACACTGTAATTATGTCTATGTGATGTGCCGATTGTAGGAAGTGATTCTACATATGAGAATGAGCCGAGAAAAACAAATTAAATTTTTTTTCATTAAAATCTTCGTAAAAATGGAGAAAATTGAGTTTAAAAATTTATCAATTATTGAATGAATTTAGCTAATTTTAAAGACGTGACAAAGAAGAATAATCAACAGGAGATTATTCTACATTCAATGACATGTAGAATATAGAATAAAATTTCTTCGTGAAATATTTTGTTTTCGAAAGAATTGAATTTCGAAATTTATCATTTTAAAAGTCTATTTTCTTGAAAATAACATTTTAAACGAAACAATTTTATTGTATACTTTCCACTTATTTCTACGTAAAATATTTTCGTGTCGATTATTTGTGCCCAATTAACCAAATTCTAATATACTTGAAAACTTTTCAAACTCGATTTTCTCGAAAACGGAAGTTTTAACGAAAAAATTTTGTTTTTTCCTTCCGACTCGTTTTTATATGTCCTTCCATCTACTGAATATGAATTGTGAGACACTCTGTATATATATTTTATGTTAATTTTAGTACAATTAATGTATTTATACGATCTGTTCGCAAAAATTAGCACTACAGCTAATAATAGATTTTAAGTTGTTATGTTTCTTAGCCTCATCTCTCAGAATAGCGACCTCCGAAACAATTTTTATAACCGCGACTGCCACAGGATTAAAGTAACTATACTCTTTATGTATTATTACATCAATTACATTGCTTCGTTATGTAGATCAATGCTGTGGTAATTGAGAAAATAGAACAACTTTAGAGACCACATGGATTACGTATCAATAGTCGAAAATACTTGGAAGATATTCTGACGCTCCGAACATTATTTACGTTTTTGGGAGAAATTATCTCGTTTTGAATTTTTCAATTAACTTAAATATATTTTTTCTCTATACAAATATGAAAATTTTTAAATTCACCATACGAATTGTTGCATAGTTTAAACAAATGTCAAGTTCTCTAGTAATACAATTCACTCTTTGCATCAATGGGGAACATTAAATAATTTGCTAGCTAAATAAAATCATGTTACTTATACATCATGACAGAATATCAAACTTAAAAATCATATTTATGTTGTCAGATAATCAAGTAGTATAAGTAATATCAATTTTCGTTCTCCAATTAATGCAAGATGAGATAAATATAGTATGTACGAATTTTATGTATATATATGTATCGTAGTATACTCCTAGTACTATAGGAAGTACACGCCATTTTGTAGCGTGTAGCGACACCTACGGTGGCGTCATCAAACTACCTTGAATATCATGGAAGACTGTTGCTGGCAGTTGATAATATGTGGATCATGCACCGATCATACCTTAATCATACCTTAAGTTATCAAGCAGCTTCCTCTGCTGCCATTAGTTCGAGATTTCTTCCGTTGATATTTCTTTCTTCCTTGCAATTGAAATCCTTCAACGACGCATTAATCGGTTTCAACTCTAGAAATTGCAGACGATCGTTCTGTAGATCCGGTTTCTTCTCCGCAAATAGGAGAACATAGGTATAAGTTCCGAGAACAGCACCTACAGTCGGTCCGAACCAGTAAATCTAAAGGGGAAAAAATTGATGAGAATGAAGGAAGAAAAAAGCGAACGACTATCGCTACCGATGGCGTGATCTAATCAAGACGCGCTGTGAACAAATATTTGCACTACTCTTTTCTCGAATCTATGAGGTAACATTTCTCCGATCCGATAACGCTAACGATAGAAATCTAAAGTGTGAAAACGTGTTTTTTATCGCACGCACGATGAAGATTAAAGCTTAAGATCGTGAGATTATATAAAATATTACGTTGCAAAGATTTGTGTAAATCTTGGAACAAGTGCCAATAAATCACGCTTCGGTTAGGAAATTTAAAGCTTACCCATTGATCCTCCCAGTTTCCGTTCCAAAACGCTGGCGCGAAAGTACGCGCAGGATTCATGCTACAACCAGTGTAAGGGCCCTAAAAAGTGTATATTTTTTAAAATATATAATGTTTTTACGAACATTTCTTCGAACAATTTCCTTGTTTTTATTAGCAAATTTTTTACCGCTGCAAGTGAAACTGCAACGACGGAGAAACCAAATCTGATCGCTGTGGAATCTGTTGTGTGGGCGCACCTTGGGTCCCAAGTTGCGCTCGCTGCGCAAAGTATGAACGACGTACAAAGAATTTCGACCAAAACGGCTTGCGTGGTACTGATCCCGGGATGAACGGTTGTTACACAGTGGCCCACCGACGAATTCGAGGATCCATCATTGAACAACTCGGGCGGAGTTATTGCCTGTTCCATTAAAATAACGATTAAACGAGCGTTCAATGTCTATCATCGTCACACGCGAGTGACGTGCCAATTTATCATTAACATCTGACGTCAGATTTGTGTAACAATTTTTCGTCATCTTATCATGAAACAATCTGTAGTTACAGACTACTGTAATATATATATATATATATATGAGATATTATGTAATATAAAGTGTTATATAACATGTGTACATTGTTCGTACTGTGGAAAAATTATGCGAAATATTTTCTATGCATATAAATATAAAAGCGTAAAATTGTTACAGAAAGTGATTGTTACAGACTATGTAAGACAATCAGTTTTTTTTTATAGATAATACAATAGAACTTCGTTTATCCGAACACGTCGAAGAATAAGATTGTTCGAGAAGTTCGGATAATAGAGATGCACACTAGCTTTATATTTTACTCTTATTTGTTTGAATAATAAGAGACATACAAAGACAACAGAAGTTAGCCAATTATGATGCTCAACATTAACTGTACATACCAATTTAAATTTGTACAATGAATAAGTAATAAAATCAAAAATTCGTACCATTAGCAATCCATATCCAATAGTGGCACCAATGAATTGCCCTACGACGTAGACGATACCGGTCGGGATACTTTTAATTTTAAGAATAACTGCCCCTATCGTGACAGCGGGATTTAAATGCGCACCACTTACATGTCCTAACATCTAACGATAACAATTAGATTAGATTCTACAATCACAGTTCAATTAAATAAATAAATCACTAGATTGCAGAGTTTTTATGCATTTTTAGGAAATTTAAAAGTACAAAAAAAAATTGCACGGAATGTAGGCAATATAGAAGACATACATCCAAAGTGAAATAATGTTTGGTACGTTGAACAATTTTCTATCTAGAGATTCTATTTCTTTTAGACGTTTATGGAAAATTTGAAGATGTAAAAACGAACAGAGCATGTCACGCGGAAATATATAAAATATCTAAACTAGAGTATTATAGTGTATAATAATATATGTCTTTATATATGCTCACACGAATGTTGAGATACATAAAAATCCGCAGTGTATTATTACATATTTTCAAAATTAATTACTATATATATTTTCAAAAATATGCATTTGCATAAAAATTCGCAGAAAATTTAATAATCAATCATCTCTCGTAATCCATCACCGTTATTCTTGCCTTTATGCAAAAAAAAAGTAACATTCTTACCATAATAAGAAGGTTGACAGTCATACCGAACGCCATGGACGCCTGCAATGGCGGCGGCAGTATTCGCCCCATCGTTCCTATGGAGCCCATACAACCAACAAACAGAAGTATCCCGGTACCCACCACTTCGGCGAGGAACATCGTGGTCGTTTACCCTTTTGCATGGACCACATCGACTCTGAAAACTACCACGAAATCGTTAGATTCCCCGAGGCTTCAACTTAAATTAACGGGTACCGCGATGGTGCCGTTGCCACAATCAGTATTCGAATTACGCTCGACAATACTAATCGTCAGTGGCTATCAATGGCTCGCAATAATGGTTGAAAAGAAAACGAGTTCTTATCGAAGAGTGTCGGACGATACGTTGCATTCTTCGTCGAATCAGTGCTCGACCGTGCAGCGCAGGAGCAGTTACAAAAAATGCCATGTTCCCTTTTATTAAAATATCACCAAGGTTAACAATATCGCTCGTGGC